AATTGCTAAAGGCCTTTGCCGTTTCTGTGGGGATAAATGGGATAAAGACCATAAACAAATATGTAAAGTATGGGGTAAACTGCATGCTATATTTGTGGCACAAGAGCATTTGTCTGCCGATCTTTTAGAGGATACAGATAGTCATAACGATACTGATTTTATTGTCAATAGTTTGGATATGATTCGAGATTCCGATGTTCACATATCTTTAAATGCTTTACAAGGAGTAGCTGGAGGAAATACTCTTCAAATGCAAGGTCTCATCAAGAAACGTTTTGTTCCCTTTCTTATGGACACTGGCAGCACCCATAATTTTATAAGTGCCCATTGGGTTAAAACTTTGGGGTTGAAGTCTTCTTGTATATCAGATTTTCCTGTTATGGTGGCCTCTGACAAGGAGTTATTAGTTACTCGGATTTGCTCGCAGGTGGAGTGGCAGTTTAATAATCATACCTTTCACGCTGATTTTCTGGTGTTACCTAGTACTTCATTTGGGGTTATACTAGGAATGCAGTGGTTCAAGACGTTAGGTGAGATAAGATGGAACTGTGGCGAACTTACAATGAAGTTTGAACATGATGGGAAATTGGTATGTCTCCACGGCGAGCAACCATCTGTGGTTGTAGAAGAACTTAATGGGAAACTACACCCAGCAAAATGCAATGCTATGTCATTAGCTTTGCAGGGAATTTTTCACTGTCAAAATGGTATGGATATTACATTACCCAAATTGACCTCTACTGAGCAAGATGAATTGACTACTTTATTGGCAAGTTTTGACAAACTTTTTCATGAACCTACAACCCTACCTCCACAACGTAGGTATGATCATAAGATTATTTTGGTCTCTGACACACCTATTTGTTTGAAATCATATCGATATCCACATGCACAGAAAGAGGAAATTGAACGACAGGTCAAGGCTTTACTAGCTACAGGGTTTATTCGAGAAAGTGGGAGTTGTTATGCTTCACCTTTGGTTTTGGTCAAAAAGAAGGATGGTTCATGGAGATGTTGTACTGATTTTCGGAGGTTAAATGCTTTAACCATTAAAAACAAATTTTCTATTCCTCTAATTGAAGATTTGTTGGATGAATTGCATGGTGCATCATATTTTTCTAAATTAGATTTGCGTAGTGGATATAATCAGGTTCGTATGGCTGAAACAGATATTCACAAGACAGCTTTTCGTACTCATAGTGGTCACTATGAATGGGTTGTTTTACCATTCGGATTAAGTAATGCTCCTGCAACATTTCAGAATTTAATGAATGACATATTTCGTGAACATCTTCGGAAATTTATTTTGGTTTTTTTTTATGATATTTTAGTATATACTCAATCTTGGACAGATCACATACGATGTTTGCGGATTGCCCTGACAATATTGGAAGCTAATAATTTGGTTCTCAATTTCAAAAAGTGCAGTTTTGGTCAAACACAAATTGAGTATTTGGGTCATCTAATATCTGTTAAAGGAGTACAACCAGAGCCAGGGAAGATTTTGTCAGTTCAACAGTGGCCACAACCGAAAAATGCAAAGGAGTTACGTGGATTCTTAGGTTTATCAGGATACTATCGCAGGTTTATTCATAATTATGGTAAAATTGCTCAACCCTTGACCTTGCTCCTACAGAAGGAGATGCAATTTAATTGGACTACGACAGCAGAGTCCTCCTTTAATGCTTTAAAGCAAGCATTAATTACAGCTCCGGTATTGGCCTTACCTGACTTTGGACAACCATTCACTATTGAGACTGATGCTTCAGGTGTAGGAATTGGTGCGGTGCTCATTCAAAATGGCCATCCATTAGCCTTTATTAGTAAAGCCATGGGACCAAAGTATCAGTTATTCTCAGCTTATGAGAAGGAATTTTATGCTATTTTATTTGCCGTCAAGAAATGGCAACATTATTTTCTAGGTCAGCAATTTATAATCAAGACTGACCAAAAGGCATTAAAACATCTATTGGAGCAACCTCCAATGACACTTATGCAGAATTGGGGCTTAGAAAAGTTAATGGGATTAGACTTTGTCATTTAATATAAAAAAGGTAATGAAAACATAGTTGCTGATGCTCTTTCTAGAAGACCGCAAGAAGGGACATTGGCTGTTATTTTCCATGTGACTTCTCAATTATTTATGGAGGCAAAAGATTCTTGGAAAACAGATTCGAAGCTGCGGAAGTTAGTTGATAAAATAAGAGTACAACAAGAACCATATAAGCACTACACTTTTGATGAAAATTTTCTTCGTCGTAAAGGAAAGTTAGTTATTGGAGCAGATGATATCATAAAAACTAACATATTGAATCACTTTCACAATTCTGTGGTAGGCGGACATTCGGGGGCTGATCTCACCTATAGACGTATTAAAGATCAATTTTATTGGAAAGGTCTGCAAAAAGAAGTTAAAGCTTGGGTTCAACAATGTAGTAGTTGTCAGAAGAATAAATCTGTTTTACAGAAACCTGCTGGTCTATTACAACCTCTGGACATTCCCAACCATGCTTGGAAATCCATTTCAATGGACTTCATAGTCAGCCTTCCAAAATCCAATGGTATGACAGTCATTTTTGTGGTCTGTGATAGGTTCACTAAGTATGCTCACTTTATGCCTTTGGCCCATCCTTATGGAGCTGCAACAGTAGCACAAGTTTTCTATGACTCTGTGGTTAAATTACATGGTTGGCCATCTGAAATCATTTCTGACAGAGATAGTATTTTTTTAAGTTCCTTTTGGACAGAATTAATGAAGACTCAAGGAGTTAAATTATTGAGATCCACAGCATTCCACCCACAAACGGATGGGCAAACAGAAGCTCTTAATAAAGCCTTGGAGGGCTACTTACGTTGTGTTACAGGAGAATTACCTACCAAATGGGCTGATCATATTTCATCTGCAGAATTATGGTACAACACCAAATACCATACAACCACAACGATGACGCCATTTGAAGCTTTATATGGCTATCCACCTATAGTACCGAATTTAACTCTACAAGGAGATTCTTTAGTGGAAGCAGTTACTTATACGGTGAAAACTAGAGACCAGATTTTTGAAATTTTGCGGCATCAGTTACATATTGCACAACAACGTATGAAACGATATGCTGATCCCAAACAGGTTGATAAAGAATTTACTTGTGGTGATTTCGTTTATTTGAAAATACAACCGTATAAACAAATGACTTTAGCCAACACATCCTTTCACAAGTTAGCTGCTCGATATTATGGCCCATTTCAAATATTAGAACGTATTGGGAAGGTCGCTTACAGGTTAGATCTGCCTATGGGATCTCGAATTCATGATGTTTTTCATGTCTCATTGTTAAAACAACATCATGGGGACAATCCAGTATCCACCAAACTCCCTATGTATAATGAAGATGGGGAAATGCAGCCTACACCTTTAGCAATTTTGGATCGACGCTTGAGAAAAAAGGGTAATAGACCCATAACAGAGGTATTAGTCCAATGGTCTCATACTAATCCTGAGGATGCTATTTGGCAGGAATTATACACTCTGAAGTTACACCATCCCGAGTTTGTACGCGACACTACAAGGACTTGTGGGCAAGTCTTTTTGGATGGTGGGGATATTTGTAATAATGCTCTGTAATAGATAACCGTTTAATAATTCTGTTAGTTAATAATTTTGGGTAAGTTGTGTAAACCAAAATTATATATAGCGTGGTTGGCTTCCATGAAGGGATATATCAAAGTTTTCTCTTTTCTGTGAATCCTCGACAATTTTCCTTGTTGGTATTGTGAGTGAGTAGTGTGCAGTGTGGGTGTGAAGCTTTAGCGTGGAAGTGTGTAAGGTATTCCTAACCTTACAAGTTATTGAGAAATAAAGAATTATTACAGAGGCAGCTACCACAGTCGCACAGCATTTGGGATTAAGGTTTCATCAAGAAAAGTCATTCTTCTCTTTAGATTCAAACAAGTTCTATCACAGCTGTACTTTCATACAAACATGTATGCACGCATACATACATATGTGGGAGAGTCCTGATATCTCATATATCTAGGGAAATAATTTTGTATCCTCTAACCCTAGCCTGAGGCTGCTACCAAAGTCGTACAGCATTTGGGATTAAGGTTTCATCAATAAAAGTCATTATTCTATTTAGATTCAAACAAGTTATAATACAGTTGTACTTTAATACAAACTTGTACGCATGCATACATACATTATGTGGGAGAACATTAGGTAAGAACATGAAAGGAGGTTAATTTAGACCATCACTGTTATGTTGTGTAGGATCGAGACATAGGCGTAGATACGGAAGACTGATTCTTCTAATGACTGACACTAAAAGTGAGAAGCAGACTCGACAATGACAGAGCCCTTCCTAAACTACTACAAGATTTTCTGAAAAGAATTTCTCCCTCACAAAACTTCAACCAAGTCTACCATAAAAAATGCTACAAAGATATAAACAATTATCCTAACTGATAAAATAAAAGAAAATATATCCTTAACTAATACGATCTTAACACAAAATTGTCATAATTAATAAAGGATCTGAATTCAGGATCCTGATATCAATATCTTAATAAGATAAAAAAAAAAAAATAAGATAAAGAAACAAGTGGAACTGAAATAAATCAAGATATAAATAAAAAGATATGATAATCTTAATTAGTGGTCCACATCACAATGATTCCAAAAGATTGAATGTTAGGTTAGATTCTCTCACACTCACGTTTGATATGTTTACAGGTTTTAATTTTACATTTTCTTCACGAAATATGTCCACATGTTTGTTCAACCCCAAGTTAATGTTCACAGAATTGATATAAATTAATAGAGGAATAATAAGTTGTACAAACTCATACGAATCAAAGATTAGGTACAAGTTTTAAAATATAATCTCATATATTATATAACAGCTGACTCTGCTCCCCACAGTCTTTTTCATGCTGCTGCTTTTTTTCATACATAATTAAGATGAAAAACAAAGTTAATTTAGTAAAAATCATAATTGTAATGCTCACCCAACACCCTTAGAACGCCTTGAATTGCGGTCCATAATCAAGCGTACATCTCGCACCTAAAAATAGTAAACTAGATATGTCAATAAAACATAGGTTGATAAACATCTACTTTTTGGAAGCAAAATAAAAAAGGGAAAGAAATTAAAAACAAAAAACACAGCAAACATGACGATTTTTAATATGGTACAGCTAACAATGTACAACTATATACACTATCACTAAGCAAGAAGGTGCAACATCATGAGTATAGCTCGACATGCAGTATTGCAGTGCACATTTTCTAATATGAGATGACATAGGATTTACTGATGTGTAAAATTCATTACACTAACAAAAATTAAAACAAATTCATGTCATTAACAATAATGATTGTGCTTCTGATGCTGTCAGAGAAATGAATTAAATGCCTCTCAGATTTATTTTTCATCTAACAATCTCTTATTCTCTTATATTCTTTAAGGGAGACAGGGATCTATTACAATAGAAATGTCATACGAACAAATAATTTTCCAGTAATTGTGCCAGAGTTCAATTTCAAGTATTAAACTCCAAAATCAAAACCAGCTATCGTAGTATAGGAAAGCAATTTTGTTGTTAGCAAAGAAAGTGAAATATATTATGACCTTGCCAGCCCTTGAGAAGAACTCGTATACATCTCTTTCATCTGCTTTCAGAGAAATCTGTGAAAATGTTTTGAAGATTAAATCTGGCAGTAAATGAATATTAACAAACAGATCATGTGATTGCATTCCAGATCTACTTCGAATACCTGATAGGCAAACACAGTTCTTTGATCTCTTTCAGGATCAGCCTCAGGTTCTGTTGCCTCTTCCTTTTTCTCTTTGGATCGCCTACGATATAACAAAATCACAAAATTATAGCCCAAGTTGTTGGAATGCATGCAATCTCTTCATCGCAGTTCAGATGAAAATAACAATAACATCTATGTAACAAACTATTGCATAAACCATATTTCCCAACACAAAATTTTCATGTTCCTTAAATTCGCAACATGGCAGCAAATTGTCTTTACATGAATAAAGCCCAAATCCACGTGACACAGGCCTGCAGAGAACTAAATTTAGTTAACATGAAATGCCCAGGTAACATAGGTTTTTAATTCATGACTTTGCTACTTGAACTTAAAAAGAATCAAACCCGTGGATTGATGGAAATGGTAATTAAAGGGAATGAATGTCATCCAATTGCTATTAACACAAGATTTTGTACCTTCTATAAAGAAAACAAAATCTTATATTGAAACAGCATCACCAAGTTGGATTGATGGCAGTACGAGTGAGTGAGGGACCTAATTGCATTAAGCTGAAACCTGTTAAAAGCTTATATATACTGAGTGAGAGAACCATAAGCATAAAGAGAATGAAACCTTTTTAATACACAAAACTAGTTTATACAGGACATCACTATTGATGTGATTAAAGCGAAGGATAGAATCCACAAGAACAGGACAGCAGAGTGCACAAACAAACCACCCTATCCATGCAATTGGTAAATCAATAGAATCCAATAATATCAATGTTAAAGGAATTTAATCACATTGATCAAAGCAAGGTACCAGGGATATGAACAAAAAATTAATGTTGCAATCAAGCAACATGGTCTGGACATAAACAACAGAATTGATGGACTTTTCCTACGGTGGATTTCAAACCACTTTTAGGGACGTTATCTTTTGTTTTAGGCTCGACCATTTTTGTTTAGTGGACTTCATTCACTCAAAAAACCCATGAACCAAATGATAAAACAAAATTGAAAAGCTATGAATTGGAAAACTTTCTAAAATTTAATATTTTCTCAATTAATCACAACGACACCAATTTATTACGTGCAGTGACAAAAACTGTGATCAACATGTAGCCAAATGAACATTGGTTTTGCCAACAGGCATCAGAAGATGAATTGCTTCTCTTAAGCATTGCCCATTACTCCATCACCAGCATTTCTGCAACAGAATAAATGCAATTAAGCAACAAATTCGAAGAGGGAAGGGATTATAATTAGCATAGTATCACGGCTGCTACAACAACCATTCAAACAATGAATGGTTGTAATGCACGGTTTCAAATTGACTCCAGGTGGAAGAAACTTTTGAAACCAAAGACTCGATGTTCCAGCACCTGGTCCAATAATGACCAGAAAGATCATCTGATGACCTTTCTACCATATCCACGGGTTCCTAGAACCTAATATTCAATATCCAGAGCCTATAATGCTGTTAAATAGCAGAACTAACTATAAGCAACGCAAAACCTACTATTCTCAAATTCAGTTAGATATTAATCAATACAAACAGTAATACAAACATACAGATTTCCTCAAAATAGAGATGAGAGGGAAGAGGGTAACACTGTTCCCAAATAAAGACATATACTCATGAGCAAGAAAAAGAATAAATAACATTTAGAAAAAATGAGGATTGGGTGATTATACCGATAGCTAAGAGGATAACACATTTCTGATCATCTAAAATGAACAGAATTACACTACACGTGTGAATATATCTGATATTGCATAACTTAAAGTGCATAAAATGGGTTCAACACTGTTAGATATTGTTAACCACAATTTCTTCTATTTATTCTGATACTTTCAGTTACTCTTTTGGTTGTATCTCTCTATTATAAATAGACTACCCCATGTGTGATTTATACACAAGGGAAATTAATTTCAAACCCTATTTCCTCTATATTCAACATGGTATCTAGAGCTTAAGGTTATCTTAAAAAAATTGTTTTTCGCCTTTTGTCCACCGCTGGAGTCACCTCACCGCTGCTAGAGCCGCGCCCTACCGCTGCTGGTAAATTAATCCTCCACATCAGAAAAGAATTATCTTTGTTACTGAATTTTATTTGGTAGTGTGAAAATGCATGTCTAGGAAGTTCTGGCAAGGAAAGACTTGGTATTTAAGTGTATCCATTAGTGACCCACCTCTCTTTCATGGGAACTTACCTAGTGTACTGGTTCACATTGTTGTCACCGCTGCCGCTAGAGCAGTCATCGGATCCGCCGCTGCCGGAGAATTCACCGAAATTTCATTTTTTTGACCGGTGACATATGATTTTGCTTGTCTCGGTCAGGTGACCACCGTGCCGTTGAGATCACCACTATCGGAGTTGGTTGTCCCGTTGTCTCCTGTGCCGTTTAGTCTTGGTGAACTTATTTTTAGTATTCTCATTTTGGATTTGTGCTTCGTGGGTTAATTGGATTACTTTGGATTGTTTTAGGGTTTGTTCTTGTTAAGGTTTCAACATAAAACCAATTGGCTATATGTGGAGTAGCCTAACATGTATTTAAACCATACCAAATGATATGAGGTAGGCGATGTGGGACTTTCAACACACCCCCTCCAACGAAGCCCGCCGGACCAGGCAAAGGGTACTTTTGACCCAACTAAAGGGCAACTTTTGGCCCATGACAATAACCGGAAAAGATGTTAGGCTTTGGCTCTGATACCATCTTAAGGTTCCAACATAAAACCAATTGGCTATATGTGGAGTAGCCTAACATGTATTTAAACCATACCAAATGATATGAGGTAGGCGATGTGGGACTTTCAACAGTTCTTCCGCTCTTCATGACTTCTTCCACTATTTCCAATTTTGTTAATGATTCTTTTGTGTTGACATCCAATCGTGATGACCCGACACGCCCTCGCAAATAGGGAAAATGACATCCTAAGTGTGAACATTGTGACAAGCTAGGTCACAAGATTAACAAGTGTTATACATTACATGGTCGTCCTACTCGATTTGCTGCAGTTGTTCAGACCAATCTTTCCCCACCTTTATTTGCTGGGGATCTTCCTTCTTCTGTTGCATTCGACATGCCTGCTATGTTCAACAAATTTCTCGAATGGTATAAGGATCAACAGTCTTTTAGTTCCACTATATCTGGCACACATACAAATAAATATTTTGCTGGTTTGACCCAATCATTTTCTCCTGGTCCTTGGGTTTTTGATTCAGGAGCCACTAATCATATTACTGGTAACAAGTTTTTGTTCTCGTCTTTATCCTCTCCTAATCATTTACCTCCTGTTACACTGGCTGATGGCTCTAGAGTATCATCTCATGGTGTTGGAATGGTTAAATTTTTTTCCTTCTTTAACCATTGATAATGTTCTTTATGTCTCTGGGTCTCCTTTTAACCTGTTGTCCATCAGTCGTTTAACTCGTTCTCTTGATTGTGTTATTACTTTTACCAACAATTCTGTGTGTTTACAAGACCGGAGTTCGAAACAGGTGATTGACACAGGATGTGAGTCTCATGGTCTTTATTATCTCCGTCCCTCTACACATGTTAGTACAGTTATGAAGTCTCCCTCTCTTCTTCATGCTCAGTTAGGTCATCCAAGTCTTGTCAAGTTACAGAAGTTTGTCCCTGCCTTGTCCAACTTATCTAGTTTGGTGTGAGTCATGTCAATTAGGCAAGCATAATCATACATCCTTTCCTCATAGTTTCACACGTGGTGCTTCGTCCCCTTTTGCCGTGATTCACTCTGACATTTGGGGACCTAACCGCGTTACGTCTACTTTAGGTTTTCAATACTTTGTTACTTTCATTTATGATTATTCCAGATGCATTTGGTTATTTTTGATGAAAAATCGTTCTGAATTATTTCATATCTTTCAAACTTTTTTTAATGAAATTCAAACTCAATTCGGTGTTTCTATTAGAGTTTTGCGTAGTGATAATGGTCGTGAATATCTTTCTCATTCTTTTAAACAATTCATGACTTCTCACGGTATTTTGCATCAAACTTCTTATGCTTATACACCTCAACAAAATGGTGTAGCTGAACATAAAAATAGACATCTTATTGAGACAACTCGCACACTTTTAATTCATGGAGATATTCCTCAACATTTTTGGGGTGATGCTCTTCTTACTGCATGTTATCTCATTAATCGCATGCCTTCTTCGGTTTTAGATAATAAAATACCTCATTCCATTTTATTCCCTCATGAACCACTTCATACTTTACCTCTGAGAGTTTTCGGGTCTACATGTTTTGTTCATAATTTCAGTTCTGGTCTTGACAAGCTTTCTCCTAGATCACATAAATGTGTTTTCTTAGGATTTACAAGATTACAAAAAAGATACAAATGTTTTTCTCCTTCTCTTAACCGTTATTTTGTGTCTGCAGATGTCACATTTGATGAGTTGTCTCTTTATTTTAAAAATCAATCTTCACCTCTGTCTCCATCCAATCTTGTCAACACTCCTAGTACATTTAATGTTCCTGTTGTTTGTGACCCTCTAACTGTATCTTCTTCACCATTAGTTCCTGCTCCGCAGTCAGCTTCTTCTCTACTGCCTCTTCAGATTTGTAGTTGTCAAAACCAATCACAACCACCACCATGTAACTCCACTCAAGTGTCAACTACTCTGTCTCCTCCAGATCTGACACATGAGTCTGACCTTCCCATTGCCCTCCGAAAAGGTATTCGTTTTACACGTAATCCCTCTCCCCATTATGTTGCTTTGAGTTATCATCGACTGTCATTACCTTTTTATACATGTCTTTCCTCTATTTCTTCTATGACCATTCCAAAAATTGTTCGTGAAGTTTTAGCCCATCCTGGTTGGCGTCAGGCCATGTTAGATGAATTAAGTACTCTTCATAATAGTGGAACTTGAGAATTGGTCTCGTTACCGTCTGAAAAATCTGTTGTTGGTTGCAAGTGGGTGTTTGCTATCAAAGTTGGACCGGATGATACTATTGATCGCCTCAAAGTTCGTCTTGTGGCCAAAGGTTATACTCAAATTTTTGGGTTGGATTATGGAGATACATTTTCCCCTGTGGCAAAAATGATTTCTGTTCGTTTATTTATCGCCATGGCCGCTCTTCAACAATGGCCTCTTTATCAACTGGATGTTAAAAATGTTTTCCTCAATGGTGATTTGCAAGAAGAATTATATATGGAGCAACCTCCTGGGTTTGTTGCTCAGGGGAAGTCTTCTGGGATGGTATGTCGTTTTCGCAAATCCCTATATGGCCTAAAACAGTCTCCTAGGGCTTGGTTTGGAAAGTTTAGCAAGGTTGTTCAACAATTTGGTATGACTCGATGTGAAGCAAATCATTCTGTCTTTTATCGATACTCGAGTGCTGGATGAGTTTACTTGATAGTATATGTTGATGACATCGTTCTTACAGGTAGTGACAACCATGGCATCTCTCAGTTGAAACAACATCTTTGTCACTATTTTCAGACCAAAGATCTTGGCAAACTTATATTTCTTGGGTATTGAGGTGGCACAGTCCAATGATGGTATTGTTATATCTCAGAGGAAGTATGCCATAGATATTTTGGAGAAAACTGGGTTGATGAGTTCAAAGTCTGTTGATACACCCATAGATCTCAATACTAAACTTCTACGAAATCAGGTGGAGCCTATATCTATCTGATCCTGAGCAGTATAGAAGATTGGTTGGAAAATTGAATTATCTTACAGTTACTCGTCCTGACATTTCCTTTGCAGTTAGTGTGGTAAGTCAATTTCTTAATTCACCATGTGAAGATCATTGGAATGCAGTCATTCGTATCTTGAAGTATATTAAAGGATCTCCTGCAAAAGGATTGTTATATGATTCTAATAATCATACAAGAGTTGTTTGCTACTCAGATGCTGATTGGGCAGGATCTCCTTCGGATAGAAGATCTACATCTGGATATTGTGTCTCCATTGGTGGTAACTTGATCTCATGGAAAAGTAAGAAACAAAGTGTTGTGGCAAGATCCAGTGCAGAAGCAGAATATAGAGCTATGGTCTCAGCTGCATGTGAACTTGTTTGGCTCAAACAATTGCTTAGAGTTACAATTTGGAGATGTCACTCAAATAACACTTGTGTGTGACAATCAGACTGTTTTTCATATTAGTTCTAATCCTGTCTTTCATGAGAGGACCAAACACATTGAGATTGAATGTCATTTCATTCGAGAAAAGATTATGTCTGGAGATATCAAGATTGAGTTTGTTAACTCAAGTGATTAGTTAGCAGATATTTTCACTAAGTCTTAACGGAGGCCTAGAATTGATTATAGTTGTAACAAGCTTGGCACATACGATTTGTATGCTCGAGCTTGAGGGGGAGTGTTAGATATTGTTTAAATATTGTTTAGATTTAGTTTGATATTGTTAAGATATTGTTAGATATTGTTAACCACAATATCAAACAATATCTTTTGTTTATTCTGTTACTTTCAGTTACTCTTTTATCTTCTATTTAATTGTATCTCTCTATTATAAATAGACTATCCTATGTGTGATCTATACACAAGGGAGATTAATTTCAAACCCTATTTCCTCTATATTCAACAAACACAAATTCAAAATTAAATCATAAGGTGTCACCAAGATACCAAAGTCTTGGTCTTGGAAGAATTACCTCACAGACTGTTAAATTAACAGCACTAAATCTAATCAATGACTCAATAAAGCTATTACTATAAGCATAACTGTATCATTGACAATAAGGATGGTGAATATGATAAAAGAAACTAGATTTAACACTTAGCAGAAAAAGAAGAGGAAATAAATGACAGAATTTGTCAACAAGCAAGTAGAACTGGAAAGATTATTATGATTAATCTAGACCCCATAAATAATTTGGATATTGTATGCTGTTCCCAGAAATGATAATCGCTTAGACTAAAAACATAGATAACTTTCATGGCCACAAACCTCGTAATGTGACTGTCTTAGGACTAGGAACCAATGAACATGAGGGTCGAATTCCTAATCATTTAGTCAACCAAGTTACAATACAATCCTAAATTAAATTAACAATATCTAGAAGCTAAGCTATTAAAGAGTGTCTATGTCCTACACAGCAGTACCTAATCAAGTTATATCTCAAAGTGTATAAGGGAATTTAATAGATTAAAACAGAAGTGGAAAAATTGAAAGATTATATAATAAAGAGAATAAAAAATATCAATCACATGAAAACAGATGACAGAAAGTCTTACTATTTCAATATCTACTACTTGCAAGATATTTGAAAGTGCTTATTAAAAGAATAAATTCTCCCAGATTGATATCAATCATAGTTCCCTATCTAAAAATCATCCATGTCCCATTTAGACTAAGACTTCATTTTTTTTCTTCACAATTACAGATGAAATTTAAGAATCACATTTAGGCAATGAACATGGCAAAGGTGAAGGAGTTTCATGGGAGTGGAGCTATCTACAGTAGAGAATTTATACCGAAAGTCAAAGGAATTTTAGGATTCGTTTGGCCAAGTCTCTCCATAAGGCCCTATAGGAAAGAAAAATGTGAATAAAAAAAATGAAATTAGCTTATACATAAGCTAATGTGTAGAAATTATCCCAAGTAACCTCTCCAAACTTTTATGTTTAACTTGTGAAAAATCTAATTTTCACTTATGAATAAGTCAATTTTATCTGATACAAAAACTCGTCCAGAGAGACCCTTAGTCATTAATTAAGTGTCTTTCAAGTCTCTAGCATTTCAGTATCCTTTTCACTTTCAATGCTCTGCTAAAGGGAAAATGGGCAATACTGTATAAGTGTATATCACACTGCAGGCATGTCCACACAGGAGTTTAATTCTCTAGATGAGATGAAGCAGAAAAGAAATCATTATATAGACAATCCCTGATCAAAATGGATGTAGGAAGTCTATAAAAAAACAAAATTCTATGGTAGTTAAATAACTATCACCAAAAATTATGAGCAAATTACCACAGCAATCAAAACGAATAAAATTTAAATGCGAAAGAATACCTGCTTTCCCTAACCCGTTCCCTTGTTTCCCTCACCCTATCTCTGTCTCTGTAATCCTTATCCCAGTTTATTTCTCTGTCTTTATCAAGAATTGTCTCTCTGTCTCTGTCCTCCAAATCACTCATATGCCTTTCGGGCCTACTTCTGCTGCGGTGTTCCTGTTCACTCTCACTTCCTCGGTCCCTTCTATCCCTTTCTTGGTCACGATCGCGATCTCTGTCTCTTTCCCTACCTCTCTTCCTATCTTTGTCCTCATGGTCTTTGTCCCTATCCCTCTTCCTATCCCTACTGCCCCCAGAGCTTCTGTGCTGATCCTTCTCCTTCTCTCCATCTCTGGACTGCAAACCATGACGAGAGGAGCCTCTTTCTTTCCTCCTCTCGTAATGGCGGGAATCATCTCCAGATTTTGAATTCTTGGAATGGAGATCAACATCATCATCATCCTTCTCACCACTCTTATGCTTGGAACTCCGATTATGCCCTCTCTCTTCGGACATCACACTTCTGTCCCTACCATTAGCCCTATGCTTCTCCTTTTCAACTTCAGCAATTTCAACTGTTTTCTCTAAATACTCATACTCGTCGAAATCCATGGAACTCTATCAATCAAACTCCAATAATGTATTATACAGCTTGTTTGGTCAAAATCTGCAAAATTAATTAAATTAATGGCGTGAAATCTTCGGTGGGTGGGTGGATGATGCAAGAATGAATAATAAATGAATTCGAACCTAATTGGAGAAGTGAATGATAAAAAAAAATATCATTAATAATGATAAACAACCTTATTGAGCTAAGCAATTGCAAGTTGGAAACGTTAGGGTTTGCGTGGAGAAATCTGAAAAGAGCTTCGAACACAGCAGAGCAGAGAGCAGAGAAACACTTTTCAATAGCTGTCTAGTTGCTGCGCGTTACCATTTGCCATTATCAAACTCAAAAACTTCACTCACTCCCTCTTCAAATCAAAATCAAAATCAAAATCAGAACGTGGGGTGGAATGTTCAGTGTTACCATTTGCCATTCTTTTCTACTAATTTTAATTAACTAGTTATTACTATTCTCATTAACGTGTAACATGAACGGAATTTGAGCCGTTAAAGAATGGGCTTTTGGAAACCCAGTCCGGTTCAACTCCTATTTTCTGAAGCCCAACAAGAGAATTACTTCTCACAGTCACCTTGTTTCCTGCACCCCCATAGTTTCTTCATGCATCTCTATACCCCAAGTAAAATATCTAAAATATCCTTCCCATAATTTTGTTTTTTAGTCTAACTTCTTCTTCTATTTGCTTACAACTTCTACACCTCCATCCCTTGGTTATATTTATTTTTTTGTGATATCACTTCCATTGAAGATATTTTCTAATAATTAAAGGTAGGTAATCATTAATATTATGTATAAATTACATGTTCTTGCATTTAAATTACATAAATAAACCTAAATTGTTCAATCTAAAATAGTATTGTGAAAATGAAGTTGAATTCGAAACACTTAATCCAAAATATATTTTCGAATTAACTTTTCCATAAATATATCTTAGAACACTCATTCCAGAATATTGTTATGGTGGGATACATTTCTAGAAATTAACTTCAAAAAGATAGATCCAGAATGCATTTCCAAAAAAATTAATTACAAAAATATATTCCAAAAAGTACTTTCCAAAACATTTTTCAAAAACAAGTTTATGTAAAAATTTGATATTAAAAAAAATTGAACATTCTTACCTGTTTCTTGTAATTTTTGGAAGAATAAGAGTGGAAAGAATGAAAATGTTAGAATGGGATTTACAAATTAGTTATTGATCAAAATTAGAATTAAATATTAATGAAAAATGAAGATAAGAGTAAAATGAAGTTTAATTTAATTATTGGAGTACACAAAAAATTATAAGATGTAGGAAGAAACAACCTTCTTCTAATCATTCATTCCTAATTTTTTATGGCATTTCAAAGACAATAACTTCTCTAATACTTTATATAGAATTGGTTAAATTTTATTTATCTAAGAAAAATAAAATTCAATTTCTAATCAATTTTAACTAATAAAAAACGTGTTGACATTAATTTTATTAAAATCATGTATTGATCTGAAAATTGCTCTTCACTTTAATAATTAAATTCTTATCCTTTTTTTGCCATAATTCAATTATCTTGTCTTTCCTCTCCCAATTTTTTCGGTTTTTCCTTGAAAGTTCAACGCTCTCACTTGGTTTCAACTAAACCTACGTCTAGCGTAAATCCAAAATTTGCATATATATATATATATATATATATATATATATATATATATATATATATATATATATATATATATATATATATATATATATATATATATATATATATATATGTACCAATTGAAACGCAATTACACAACTTTCAAAAATTAAATAAGAATATGCTGAAATCAAAGAAGATATTGTGATTAACTTCCATATTCTGTTAATATGAACATTTCAAAATTATTAATAAAATAAAAACCACCATAAATGGAACTTTTGAAATAATATTACATAATGTTAATAACTTTATCCATAAGAATGTATGATTGTTAAACGTTGAGAGATGAAGAGACAAAGGAAGGAGGGACAAACGACATGCAAAGATCAAAATTCCCAGTGGTCAGCGGGTAGGTAAAAAAATTCACATCTCCACAGTCTAATAAAATAAACAATCCATAATTGTTCTTCCATTCTAAAACTACCAACATTAAATTATGCAAAATTCTCACCAAAACTCTAGGTTAAATGAATAGACCTTTTCATAGGTCCTCCAAGGTAAACAAAATACATTGCTTCATGTGAAGGGTGTCACCCATTGCTTCATCTATCTGAAGAGCATAATGTGTCACTGCACCACACTTGTACTTGAAATATATTAACCATCCTATGTTGGTCGACTTTGATTGATACAACATTCTCTATTTCAGTCGCTAATATCCCTTATTTGTTGACTGCTATTTCTCAAATTTAATAATTATGTTCTTTGTTCCTATGCATCCCTGCTTTTACAACTTGTGTCCTAGGGCATTTTGGAGTACTAAAAATGCCACGACTAGAAGGTCTTGGGGGTATTGGGAGAACTATGATGCTTGGGGATGCCATCATTTGGAGCACTAAAACTGCCATAACTAGAAGGTCTTGGGGTATTGGGAGCACCAGGAGGCTTGGGGATACCCTCATTTGGACCACTAAAATTGCCATAACCAGGTCTAGGGGTATTAGGACCATTTGGAGGAAGATTGCGGGAAGGAATTGAGTGTCTTGATCCATGAGGAGTAAAAGCTTGCCTGTTATTTTCTATTCTGGGATCAACTTCAACATTTGCCGGTGCTTGCTTCGGGCGATTCCAATTTTGCGGAGGAGACCTGAATCCATCTCTTGTTCCTGGACCTTGATAGTTGTTCATATCTGCATTATTTGATGTTTGCTGGAATCTGTTTCTTGGCTCTACTCTTCTGTATCTATTATTCTCAGTCACAGCAGGAGGCACTTGTGCATTAGATTGGACGTTATTTTCACCATGATGATTAGTTCTCCTATACCGATTTTCGGACACAGGAGGAGATACTGGATCATTAATTGGAGCAGCATTTGTTTGATAATCAGGGGAGGCAGTAATATTGCTGCTAAATGCAGACCTGGAACTTTTAAAAAGCTTGTCTCCATCAAAAGGGGCCTCCTCCTCCGTTTCAAATCCAGATTCTGCATCATGACTCTCATATTCAACAGAATCACTAGAATTGGCAGTTGATGTCTCCATATGACCCTCCTGAGTTGTAACATTTGTCGCATTTTGAAATTTCTTCCCACTTTTCTTCGATTGCCCAAACTTAACGTGTCTGACGACCATGTATGCATCTTTTCTTGCCATATGTGGTCCACTTTCCACAATGTAGACATCTTCCATCTGCAAATAAAATTTTAAATGTAGAATGAACGATTTGTAGAGAAAAGGAAAAATAAAAAATCTTGAAATATAGTTAAGACAGAAAAATCCCAGAATAAACAAAGAATCATCATACCAGAGCAAGAAGAGGAGAAAATAATACTGTCGGGTCCTGATTTTCCTTGCCTGATACCTTGCACTGTTTTAAATAGACCAAAAACAGTCATATTTCTGACATATCATTCACCAACTCAATACATGACACACGGCAACCATAGAATTTGTAGGAAGCTGCATACTAAAATGTTCCTCTTCTTCCCACTGACCATTAAACACGTAGTATCCTTGCAAATATAGTTAACATAATTAACCTAGCATTTTCTTGTTATTTTTCTCTTGCAAAGAACATCATGTACTTATATAAATCTCAATAAATATTTTAATCATTTATTGTATATAAATTTGTTCTACAGGGTGCCCAAAATCACTCGAGCATTTTCATTCAGGCTCCCAAAATATTCAGCCTTTAGTTTAGGTAATGCATGATTTGCCATATAAGTTATAAATGCAGATAAAGGGGGTATTTGGGGAGGGAAATATAGAAAGATACAGGAAAGAGGCTTGGTCTTTAGATTAAGTCTGCAGTCAACTAAATCGCTGATAGTAAACAATAGGGGAAGATGCTTAAGAAGGGTAGGTCTACATCTCCACTTATTCAGCTGCTTTTCATCAAGCCATCTTCTGAGGTGGTAAACAGTTGTCCTCACTTATCCAATCCAATACAAAACAAACAGCTGTAGACAAATCTTAGCAGGCGTCATCTTGAGAATTCAGGTGACAATTGTAAAACGGTGCAGCCAAATTGACAGGTGGCACAGTACACCAAGCATTTTTCTGATGCACCAATACGCCAATTTTGGTTCCAGACCAACCAATATTGGATACATATCTGGGACCAATACGTTCAGAAACAGGGAGGATATGTATCCTAATCAGTATCCTTTATGGTTTTATTAAAAACATCCTATACAATTTAGCTTTGTGATTTTCAGACATTATACAATTTGCAAATACGTCATTTGAGCTATGCTGGTCCACTTTTGTGACCCTGAACATACTGGTGAGACAGTGGTTTCACAGGCTTGACACGGTGGTGCCAAACATCCCCTTTTCCATCCCTGTAAATTGAACTGGATTGGTGGTTTTGCCTTTCCATTTCTTTACTTTTTTAAATTTTATGAAAAATGTTTGAACTTTGCCCGAAAATTCCTGATTTGTCATTTTTTGTACTGCACAAATGTCACCTAAAGCTGTATTTAATATTATTAATAAGTATTTTCTCTTCAAGATCACCGAATATCAAGATGTAACAGCAAGAAAGCAATCAGAGACAATGGCGTGAAATTCTGTTAGAAATGAAGGACACGTGGGAGTCAGGCATAGCACTATGCAGAGGAGAGAGAATATAAGGCTGAAGGACTAAACAAATTGGCAATGATTTTGAGGTTAATTCTTCTCTCTGAATTCTTCTTGCCTTTTCCTCTCTACATCTTGCTGATTCTCTTTTCCCCATTCTGAAACTCATTCTGAAATTCCTTCTCTTCTCAGGTGTCGTTTCTTAGGGAATTGCTCATGAAGTTGCTATAGCTAATTCCCACCTCTCCCATTTTCTGTTATGAAAATTTATTTCTCAATACTCAGTTGTTTCAATTGTAAAGATTCTTATTTTTTCCTTGTTTAGCATTGTAATTGCTACTGTCTGGTTGGATAATTCTTGCAATAGATCATTCTTATTACATTGGTGTTTTCATTGACCTTCCATGGCTGAAAACACGCATTTGAAGGATGTACAAGCGGAAATTCGTACTCATTCAGAAGATATTCGTCATATCGGTCAAATGATGGATTTGCGTTATCAAGAACAAAATGATAAAATGCTTCAAATCCAGAATTCTATGGAGAAAATTCAATTGGCAATGACTCAGTTACTACAAAACGCTTCTTAACCTCATGGAAGTGCTTCGAACAATGGCTCTCCGTTGGGGACACTCGGTAATGCTTCTCTATCTATCAAGGAAATTTCATTCGATTTTCCTCACTTTGATGGTTCAACACCGGTGATGAAATGGATTTTCAAGGCGGAGAAATTCTTCACATATCAAAACACTCCAGATGCTTCTAGAGTGGATATTGCCGCGATGCACTTTGATAAAGATGTTGTTCCTTGGTTTCAGATGTCTCAGAAATTATCCATGATAACTACTTGGTCTGACTTGACTCGTGCTCTTGAATCTCAATTTGGTCCTTCACCATTTGATTGTCCTATGGTTGAACTGTTCAAACTTCAGCAATCAGGTTTGGTATCTGACTATTACCTCAAATTTATGTCTCTTGTGAATCGATCTCTGGGATTAAGTGATGAAGCTTTTATGAATTGTTTTATTAGTGGCCTGAATCCTGATATTAGACGTGAAGTTGTTGCTATGTGCCCTTCTACATTGTTGCGTGCAGTTGCCTTAGCCAAACTTTTTGAAGAAAAATATAATCCTACGTCTAAACCAAACTACAATTCATATACCCACAAATACTCCCCAATTTTACATACTCCAAATTCTAATACAACTCACCCAAAACCACAAAACAAATCTCAATTACCTCCACTTTTAACCACTGTACCAGGACCCCCTTTAAAACCTTCTAATGTGAAGAAAATTACTCCTGCGGAAATGCAGTTGAGAAGGGAAAAATGATTGTGTTATTTCTGTGATGAGAAGTTTTCTTTTAATCATAAATGTCCTAATAGGCAATTGTTGATGCTACAAATGGATGATGATAGTTCTGTTGGTACAGTTGTGACTCATAGTATGCAGCAAACCGAGGTAATGGAACCCGAGAATCATCATTTGTCCTTAAATGCTTTGAAGGGTGGTGCAAGTGTGGGAACTATTAGATTCATAGCGTATATTGGGAAATTATCTGTGACTGTATTAATTGATGGGGGGAGCTCTGATAGTTTTTTACAACCAAGGGTGGCTAAATTCTTAAAATTACCAGTGGAACCAGATGCTCAATCCAGAGTAATGGTTGGAAATGGTAATTATATATCTGTGGAAGGATGGATTAAACAATTGAAGTTACAGGTTCAAGGGAATACCCTTCAGTTACCAGTGTTTTTACTTCCTATTTCTGGTACAGATCTTATTTTAGGAGCTAGTTGGTTGAAGACAATTGGCCCTCACATTGTAGATCAAGATGCATTGCAATTGAAATTTTTGTTGAATGGCAAGTTTACTACATTACAGGGAGATGCTGATTTGATACCTGAACAGGCTCAATTAAATATATAAGAAGATTGGAGGCCACAAATGCTATTGCTGAAGTTTATAGTATACAATTGATGGAAGCAAATATTGTTCCTAAATCTATGCTGGAATTACCTGCTACTATGGAGCCTGAATTAGCCTTGCTATTACACACTTACAGTGTGATCTTTGATAATCCTACAAGCTTACCTCCTCCAAGGTCTCATGATCATTCTGTTCCTTTATTGGAAGGTTCTCAACCTGTTAAGGTTAAACCTTAACGATATCCTCATAGTCAAAAGGAAGAAATTGAAAAATTGGTGTCAAGAATGCTAGATGAAGGCATCATACAGCACAGTAAAAGTCCTTTCTCTTCTCCTATTATATTGGTTAAAAAAAAAAGATGGCTCATGGAGAGTATATACTAATTATAGGGCTCTTAATGCAATTACTATCAAAGATAGCTTCCCTATTCCTACTGTGGATGAGTTGATTGATGAGCTTTTTGGAGCTTCTTTTTTTTTCTAAATTGGATTTAAGATCCGAGTATCATCAAATCTTGCTAAATCCTGATGATAGACATAAAACAACATTTAGGACACATCAGGGCCATTATGAGTAGTTGGCTATGCCATTTGGCTTTACCAATGCCCCTGCTACATTTCAAAGCCTTATGAATGACATTTTTGTTGGACTTCTGAGAAGATTTGTTCTAGTCTTCTTCGATGATATATTTGTATACAGTACTACTTGGCAAAAGCATTTATATCATGTAGAGGTTGTTGAAAGTCCCACATCGCCTACCTCATATCATTTGGTATGGTTTAAATACATGTTAGGCTACTCCACATATTGCTAATTGGTTTTATGTTGGAACCTTAGCATGGTATCAGAGCCAAAGCCTAACATCTTTCCGATTATTGTCATGGGCCAAAAGTTGTCCTTTAGTTGGGTCAAAAGTACCCTTTGCCTGGTCCGGCAGGCTTCGTTGGAGGGGGTGTGTTGAAAGTCCCACATCGCCTACCTCATATCATTTGGTATGGTTTAAATACATGTTAGACTACTCCACATATTGTCAATTGGTTTTATGTTGGAACCTTAACAGAGGTGGTTTTGAGTATCTTGAAACATCAACAATTATTTGCCAGATTTTCTAAATGTTGTTTTGGAGTGCAGCAAATTGATTACTTGGGCCATACTATATCAGGTTCAGGTATAACCATGAATGCAAGTAAATTGGAAGCTATTATGAAGTGGCCGGAGCCTACAAATTTGAAACAATTGCGTGGATTTTTAGGACTCAGGTTATTATAGGAGATTTATCTAGTCATATGCTAGCATTGCAGCCCCTTTAACAGATTTGTTGAAAAATGATTCTTTCAGATGGAGTACAGCTGTAGTTAAAGCATTTTAGCAACTCAAAACAGCTATGACATCTGCTCCAGTCTTGGCTATTCCTAATTTCAAGGAAATATTTGTATTAGAAATTGATGCTTCAGGGAGTGGAATTGGTGTTGTCCTTAGTCAAAACAATCATCCTATTGATTATTTTTAAAAGAAATTGTCCTCAAGAATGCAGAAACAGTCAGTTTATGCTCGGGAGTTCTGTGCTATTACTAAGGCTTTGACTAAGTTCAGACATTATCTTTTGGGTCATAAATTCATAATCAAAACAGATCAGAGAAGTCTTAAAGAATTGTTAGAACAACAGTTACAAACTCCTGAACAACAACAGTGGCTTCCCAAGTTTTTGGGATATGACTTCACCATACAGTACAAACCAGGGAAAGAAAATATATCTGCTAATGCTTTATCTAGAAGTTTTATGATGCTTGTCTCTACTCCTATACACTCTTGGATTAACAGCGTAATTGATTTGACTCAGAGTGATCCACAG